CATGTATGTTCAGACGGTGCAATGTAAACGGAAGTGGAACGATTATAAAGAGGTAATAATCTCAAATCGGTTTAGTATCGATGTGAAACCAATTAACGTTTCAGTTTGTTTTAATAATTTCAGTTCACGTTTATGTTGTTTATGTTAAGAGTTTTATATCATGAGTTTTTTTATACAAAATACACATTTATGCAAAGGAGCAAATTTTTAGAATTGATAAAAAATAAACTGCCATTTACTACCGCAATTGTACCCATAAGAGAGAGTTAAAAACTCAGAATTTTTGTTTTTAACTAAATGTTGAAATTGTATGATTTTGTCTTAGGAGTTGTATATTTTAAGTTATTAGTACGGTCAGCTTAAGCTTGGAAGATAATTATTGCGGTCTAGTCTAACCCGTAAAAGTGTGGGAAACTTTTTGGCCATCGCACCCACATAACCGAAACATAAATCGTAAAAATCTACGTTATTTGGCACTACTCAGAGTTTTCCGGGTCCCACTTTTGCTCATTTCTGCCTAATTATGTACAGTAAGTTTGCAGATGTTAAGTGCGTGTTTTTCGCATCCTTCTAGGATTATTTTGTCCAACGCAGACATATTTAGCTATTAACCTGTCCTGTTAATATACAGACGACATATACAGTATAGCATCTAAGGAGAATATAGTATTTTAAACTTGGCTTGGGAAATTATTGCATAGAGCCAATATTGATAGCCAAAACACTTGATTTGCTTTCTTCATTTACCGTAGATTGGCGTCGCTTCGGCTTATCTTCAACAGAATCCATCTTGTAACTTTTCTTAAAATTATTTTTTCACTTCTTTTCGAATCTCCTCTATAAACTCCTGCAGATTATTTGACCTGTTAAACAAACACTTTCGATTTGAAGTTATCCCGCAAAAACAAATCTATCGGAGTTAAGTTTGACGATTTGGCAGGCCATTCTTCAATAAGTTTTCTCCTTCATATCAACCGATTGGGAAAGCTTGCATTCAAAAAAGTATGCACAATAGCAGCATAGTGTGGAGGACCACTATATGGATGGAAAATCTGGTTTTTGCCAGGAGAGTCTGGCTCGAATGGTTTAGGAAATAAATACATCAATGCGGGCATTCATTCAAGATGTAGAACTTCTAGATATACTTGTCGAGTGAGAGACTGTTTAAAGAAAAATTCCTCCTATTAGTCTTCCGCGCATTATTCTTCATCACACATTTCCTTCTTGGGGGTACTGGCTGTGAAGCTCTATCGTCCAATGCTGATTTTCTGTTGCCCAATATCGACAATTTTGTCGGTTCGCATAACTATTCCAACAGAACGTAGCTTTAAAGGAAAATAAAGTTGCTTCCTAAATTATTGCCTAGATTGCACATATTTTGTATGCTTTCGCATAACTCATTTTACCCATCATAATCAGCTTCAAATAGCTCTTGCACTTGAATAACTTTGTAGGGATGATTTTTGTACTTTCGCACTATTCGCTTATTACAGGGTGATCCAAAATTGGCGTCATTCCTCTGGAGGTGTTGTCTGGCGCTGTTATAGAAGTACAGAAAAAATAATAAAAGAAATTAAGTGGTATTCAAAACTGAGAAATTTACAAAAAAACGATATCAGAAATACGGCAGCAATGTTTTTCAAGGTAATCTGCCTAATTAACATTGCGCAAATACCGGTTGCTTCGTAATTATTTAAAACTCCGGTAACCATGGAATTATACAGAGTGACAATAAGATAGACAAGGATAAACGGTAAATTCAACAAGATTCGTTGACTGCGGAACGTACTTTCGAAATGTCCACCTGTTCTCATAGCCTCGAATTGGTTGAATGGTTAACTCCAAACAAGCTAGTGCCTGTGTAATCCCTTATTATCCACTCTTATCAAGCAGCTTCTGGTATTCAGTTAATTAACTCCTGCTCGATTTGTACATGTGTGTGCTCCTTGTACTGTGTGTATCGTACAAACGTGGTAGGAATGTTGCCCGTCCTCGGTATTTATTTGGTGCTTGGGCAAGTGTCAGTCATTGTGCTTTGAGTGCCCCTGGAAGGCTGTGATTCGACTATGTCCAATACTTATTCCTCTGTGTCTGGAACCCGAAAATCGATTGTCGTCCACTATCTTCCTGGAACCACTCTCCTCGCCCTTTGTTGGCGTGAGTTCTTTCAGCTTGTGCTATGTAGTTTGTAGCATTTCCCCTGAACTAATCGCATATCCGCAAATTCGTGAAAGGAAATTCAAAGTAAGTCGCAGTTTGACAAATTATTATTGACTAGGGCTATCCACCTGTAACTATCTGTTAATGACAAAAAAACATCATTGCCGCTGTGACTTTTCATCAGAAACTTGTAGAAGAGGACTTTTTTGATATCGAAAATTTTCGTAATTTGAAGCAAAGTTCGTAATTTTTCTTTTTTAATGTTTAAGTATTCCAATATGCTACCAATTAAACATGGAACAATTTCTAAATAATGCTTAATAACAACGTTGAAATTCGATTTTCAACTGTTAATATCTTCTAGAAATTTTCCAAAAAAAATTTTTCAATATTTTTCTCGTACTCCCCAAGTGAGTCTCTATCACCCCTTAAAAGGAATGATGCCAATTTTGAATCACCCTGTAGCTGGGTACATGGATTTCCTTCCACAGAAAGTAAAACATCAAGTTCATTTTGATCTCGAGCAGAACGTCCAGGTTTAAGCAAATTTCCTACATGGCCAAACTTTCCGAATCTAGCTTCTCTTCTACTCACCACCTTTTGGCATGGGGGGATGATCTCGGTGGATTTCTTTAAATAACTGAGTTGCTTCTTTTTGGGTACGTGTTCTATCACCAACCACAGCAATGCGGAGAATTTCGATTTTTCGTTTATTTTGAGGTCTCCGGTTCGATTTTTGACCAAAATATCGCTCGTGCCTTTATTTGAAGGTATGGGGCGCCGTTTTATGCAAAAAAAATTAAACACACTAACGCACATTTTTCATTTCTTCAATAATTTGCAAGAACTATCCAGTAAAATAGCCATAAATCAGAACAATAACAGAAAATAACACTTGCAATTTTTTAAATAGGCGCAACGCTCAACTCAAAGTTTAAAATGGCCTCCCTCGGACGTGACACAAGATTCAACTCTTCACATCATTGATTGTCGTATTCGCACCAATATTCGTTATTGCCTCGGAGCCGGTTATAATTCGATTCTCAGATCATGAACATTTTCAACGGGAGTGGAATAAACAATGGCTTAAGGAAACCTCAAATACAAAAGTCTAGGGAATCTAAATCCGGTGATCGAGCAGGCCAATGTTCCGTACTTCAACTATATATACATCGATTTAGATAATATACCATGTCTAAGTGATTACGTACCATAATGCCATAAGTGTCGTCCCAGCTGTAGAGGCATATTTTCAAGAAGAACAGATAGCTGTTCCTGTAGAAAAGTAAGTTAAGATTCACTTTAGTCGTTGTGGAAGGAAATATGAGCCGATTAAATGATCGTCAATTACCCCAAGCCATACATTTATGTTAAACTGGTGCTGAAAAATTTTTGAAGACGCACTTCTTAAATGAGGGAATAATGGTAAAAGAAAGATTGCAAACAATGTAAGATTCGCAGACGACACAGCGATTACAGCAAGATCCGCTGAAGAACTCCAAAGACGATTTAAACAGAACTGGTACCTTTTGTGAACAGTATAGACTTAAAATAACATTGAGAAAGACCAAATATATGATAATAACGGAAAATTTAGATACAAACAAACATAATTTATAGGGCCAACAAATAGAAAGGCGACCAAACAACAGAAAGAATAAATGGAAGAGAAACAGCAATAAATGCGTTTGTGATATTAAAAACCATCTTCTGTTCCAGAGACCTCACAATAGAACTAAGAGTGAAAACATTAAGGTGCTATGTGTTTGCATTAACTTTATTATGGTTTGGAAGGCTGGACGCTTAAACAGGAGCAAATAAAAACGTGGTGTTATGGAAGGATACTACCGTAATGGATAAAGAATATGAAGTAGTTAACACAATAAAGTCAAGAAAATTACAATAGCTGGGGCACATAATGAGAGGACAGCGATATGAAATGCTTAGATTGATCATGCATGGAAAGATAAAGTAAAGAAGGAGCAATGGAAGAAGGAGAATTTAATAATTGAGAAGTTTGAGGAATTGGTTTGGTTGTAGCTCAATAGAACTTTTAAGACTAGTACTGATGATATCCAATCTCCGATAGGAGACGGCACTCAAAGAAGAAGTAGTCCAAAAGTAGCCTAGTCGGTAAACAATTCGCCATTTTAAAAATCGTTAATTGGAGCCATCTTAAGAAGAATCCAGTGGCAAAAGAAAGGCGTAAAGAAAAGTCCCTAGCTAGTAGAGCTTTCACCCGTTGAATATGAAACGAACACAATTGCTGTTCTTTAAAAAATTTTAATTTAAATGAAAAAAATTAAAAATTTTTGAGAACTTGATTTAGGCTCGACAACTCTCTAGTTGCATAGTGCGTACTTCTTGAGAGCACCCGCACTCCACCGCTTCTTTTTTGCCTACATACGGCACTCCATGCGAAAAAAAGGTATGAGAGATCTTGAATTGAGATCATCGCCCATATGCGTACCATTGAAGAATATGAAACTCTTAATTGCTTGTCAACAAATGTTTCAAGCATTAGAAACTTGGTCAATTTTCAAGAAAAACTTTGCCACCCCGTATCTTGAAAAACGAATCGTTTGCGGACATACGTTTAAGCAAAATGTTATTATTTCTTCATGCAGAATCACCCCTTAGAATTGGTCGCACTTATTTACTAACACCCTGTTTGAACCAAAGACTTTAACAGCTCAACAAAAATTTACAATGTGAACTCCTATGCACTTTACAAGTTAAATATAGTATAAAAAAGCGAATAAGGCTGCTCATAAATAAGCAATTCTTAAGTTAATTCTATTGTCACTTTGGCATGAAAGCATCTCATTAAGCTGACTCACTTGAATAAAATATCGACATCGTTCAGCGACAGCAAACAAAAAACGATACTTACCGGCTGCACTTCAAAGTTGTCGCAGAAATAATTCGCGTCGGAACGTGCAAGCGTCGACTAAAATAAACTTTCTAAAACTGGCCTAAAAGTCGGTTCGAACTCCTTTCGGAATTGTTGGCTTTGGCCGTTAAAAGCCGATTTTCCGGGATTTTGGCAATTTTTTTCCTGTTGAACTAAATAAAGCGTAAGTCGCAGCGTACGCGTTACTCAGGTAAGTGGGCTTACGGAGAAGAAGGGAAGGTCGGGATCGAAGACGTAAACCGTTCTGTTCCAGTGCCCACTTAGGACTGACGCGAGATTTCGCGCACGGGGATGCTGGAAGCGCGTCGCGACGCCTGATTATGTGACATCCTTATTTAAAGCGTGATTTATATGGTTCACCAACAAGGAAAGCAGATGGCCGCCGTATGTTGGGCATCGTTTTTACCTGTATAAGGTATGTGATTTATGCCCGAGTTATTATTATGATTCGTCGACGATATTTCATGCCTGATTTCACTCGATCCTCTCCGTAATCTCATTAATTTAATCGACTATTTTTTTATTTTTTCTTCTATTAAAACTTCTAGGTGAACTTGTTGTTTTGAGGACCCCCGAATGCCAAATCGTGTTTAATTTAACTTAAATTACCCTTGATTTAAAAAAAAAGTTGATTAGAACTGGTAAAATGCAAAAGAATAAGAGGGAAAATACAGAAACATGTTAGAATAAGACTATAATCAAAATGCTTTTAATAATATCAATATAAGTTCAGCCATATATTATGAACCACAGTGTATCATAAAGCCATATTGCTTAGGCAAGCATAATTTTTGTTTATCGCGAGAGCAACTTTTGTTTTAGTTAGTCGTCGTCAAATCGCTGCTGATACAGAATCGTTCTCGTGTTCGGAAATCTACTTTTGTACTGTGTTGTTCTTTATCATTTATCAATATACTTTTATTCATACATTAAGAGTGTGTCCACTTTATTTCACCAACAGAACAGTCAATAACAACATTTTAGTCCCCGAACGAGAGTAAAGTAGTAGAAATTGCCAGTTCTAGTCGCCTTTTTTTCTTTTTTCTTCTCTTAAAACTTTTGGGTGAACGAAATTCCAAGTTCGCAGTTATTTAAACATAAGATACACTTGATTAAAAAAAATTGACTAGAACTACCAAAATATTAAAATAATAAGAAGATAAAGTACATGAACAGTTAATAACATTTTAATATACAGGGTGTCCGAACGACACAGAGCCGCAGAGTAAGATTACGCTTAACCGGTGTTATTTGTTCGAAAATTCTCATCGTTCTTTTAGAGATACTAAACACGAGTTACACCATCAAGTTCACACAGAACCTGCCTAGTAAGCAGCAGTTCCCACAGAAACCGCTGACTAGGTTCCGCCGTACATAAATTCCTGATTAACTATAAAACTGAGACAATTCACTATGTTAACGCTTTTTTCCACAAAACTCTGTCGATGATAGAACGTCTGTAAAGTTATTTTAAATAAATTGTTTTTAAAAAATAGTTTATCTATAAAATAAACATATTTCACGCATCTTTACAAACACTTACATTTTTATAGAGTGCGTGCGGACAGTTGTGGCGCAGAATACAACCTTTTTTCTAATGGAGCACCCGATATTTTATTCAATTTTTTAATTCTTTTGTAGATGTCCACTATTTTTTGTTATATGAAATATGAGTGAAAATTTGATAGTTTGTCAGTCAGTCACGTGTGCATTTGGTGCTTTAAATACTCGATGCTAAAATGCCCATGGACGACTTCTATTGATTTGCAAAAAATATTATTTGGAATACAAAATTAATGAAAAACTTGATAATATAAGCGTTGCAACAATGTTTTTTTAGATACGTTATTACATAACTTTACTCAAAAGAGGAATACCTTCGAGCGACTGGATGGAGAATTATCAAAACTTAAATAATAAACTATAAGTAATAAAAATTATTATTGAGTTATTATTATGATTCGTCGGCGATATTTAATGCCTACTTTCACTCGATTCACAATATAATTAATTTAATCGCTTAAGTGTTTATTTGTTTTTCTATTAAAACTTTTAGGTGAACCTGTAGTTTTGAGGACCCTCGAATTGCAAGTTGGGTTTTGTGTGTTTCCTTAAAATACAATTGGTGAAAAAACGTTGACTGAGTTAAAATCACTTCCTTGGAAAGGGAGTTTTTGAAACAATTTTTATTTCAATTGACATGGATTTCAGCTTCAAGATACAACTGTTTGTTATTACAGGTTTGTGTAAATATATACTGAATTAATGCTGATGAGTTTACATGCTATCTGTGAAACTAAAGAACATTATGTACTTCGTAAGCATAATTGGATATTTCCTTATGCTTAGCTGCGAAATAGAATATCATGAATTTGTGAAGTTGGCTAAATAGGATATCATAACTACTGGAACGGGCAAAACGTAAAAAGAAGAGGTATTTTAATAGCAACATTTTTAATGTCCATTTAAACACAAATTAATAATAATAAATTTTCATTTCATTGAAGAATTTGCATGAAAAGATATCTAGCAGCTTTACTCGAAAGAATTTTGAAGAACTTCGGTAAATTTTTGCTAATAAATCGATTAATAAGTAACGAAAGTTGACGCTGAGGATCACGAAACGCATTCACTGATTTTACAGGTAGCAATAGTAAGATGCTTACCGTAACGGAATACAGCTCTATTCCGTTCCGTTAAAAACAAAACGTTTGGGAACCATTTTCTACTTCTGTTCTGAATAGGGAGCAAAATTTATCTGAGTGCTTTTTAGGAAACATAAACAAATTTTGAATTTTAATAATGTCTTAAACAGGATGTTGCATGACCAGTAAAATGAATACAAAAAATGAGGATTATATTTCCATTCAGAAAAAAAGCTGTAAGAGTAGTGAATACTTCATCCTTAGATAACACAAAGCACGCAGGTTAACTAAAAACTGGCAATTATAGTCAGCCATGCCATTTATATGGTAAGACATTGGACGTTAAAACGCTTATCAAATATACAGGGTGATTCACAACCTTATGGACACAGAGCAGGGGCGTGTAGAGAACCTCAAATCAAGTCTAGTTTCCATTTAAATTTTTTCTTAGGTCCATGGTTAACGAGTCTTAGGTCCATGGTTAAAAACTTTAACACCCTGTATGGGTATTAAAGTTTTTAGAAAATATTGATATTTTCTCTTTAACTCCCACAGTTTATGAGATATTGTGCTCAAATTTTTAACGTGGGCTACTATTTAGGGACCTTCTACCCCTAGTTAAAAATATTTTTAAAACGTTAACACCCTGTATCTCGTTAACCATGGACCTGAGGAAAAAACCTTAATTGGCAACTCGACTTGTTTGAGCTCCTCTACACGCCCCTGCTCTGTGTTCATAAGATTGTGAATCACCCTGTATAAATATTCGGCATAAAAACTGAACCGCATTCTGAGCGTATATTTGCACAATAAGTTGAGCAATATCTCACGGTTGATGATAAATTTAAATTGCGGTTATTAAACAATCAGTTAATTGACTGCATTTTTTAAAACAATGTCAGCCAGTGTGTTGCTGTTGTGTTGTTTAACTAATTTGCCAGGCATCAAAAAACCATATTTATGTCCGCGGATTTACAAATAAAATAACTTTTTGCATTTTTTAGATAATTAAAATGCATTTGAAAAATGTTCATTGTTTTGTGTTGAAGCATGTGCTCTAATACCAAAAAAAAATTAAATTTTCCCAATGGATTTCTGCTAAACGAAACTTGGCCCACTTTAGCAGTTATATAGAAATCAGTAACTAATCGAAATAGCGATTCACTTATTGCTTGCCGGGAAGTTGTGCTTTTGAACTATTTTCTGTTTGGGACTTTCCTGAGTTAGCGGTTGAATTGAAAATAAGATAATAATGTTTACTGAAATATTGCTGAATTTTCAAGATTCAAACCAATAGAAAACGTAAAATAATTAGTAATTCCAAAAAAGCTTTTGTTAGCAACCATGTCTAACTACGCCTTAATATCACAGGATGATTTGTGAATTTACTGGAATTAAACAGCACTATATCGATTTAGTATGTATTACCTGAATCTATATGGCATTACCTGAGACTGCCGAACATTATACAGAATTGCGTAGAATTATGCCAGATTACACAAAATGGTGAGCATTACCCAGGCTATAATGGTCTAATCTAGAGAAGTGGATCCGAAGTATTGAATAGAGTAAACTCCCTAAAATTCACCAGTATCACTCAATCAGCATTATCAAATTAAAAGAGCTTCGTAAGTTCTACCTGAATTATTCGAACTGAATTAGGCATACTTAAAATAACACTCCAATTGATTTTCTGAAATTCATCCTTAAGAAGGAGCGAAGCTGAAGATATTATGTACACTTGAAAATCCCCTTGATCACTTTTTCGTTGTGTTTTTGATCCTCAAATTTTCATTGTGTAAGTATTGCAATTTTAAAATGTGATCGAAATTCTTATTTACTCCCAAACACTTTGTATAATAAATTTATGGATAAAACAGGATTTCATTTAGCATGTTTTACGTGTCCATATCTTAAATTTATCAGTTTCGATCTGCTTAATGATTCATTAATTGCGAACAAAAAACTATTGTTCATCGTAAAAACCCACAATGTTTGACTGTATATGAGGTATGACGTGATCAATCAATGGTGAATCTTGGTGAATCAAAGCAAATGTTTTAAATTGCGTAAATTGGAAAATATTCGCCTAAGACTATCAAAATACTCATAAAAAAATTATGATAGGGGCATGTAAAATAATGTAGGGTAAAATTTATTTAAATTTAGTTAACTGTGCGACTGGTTGCCTAAACAGTAGGTTGGCTTCACACACAAAAAAGCATATGACTAGGTACGATAGAAAGAGACGGCGGCATGTTTGACGTTTGACAAAAAGACGCCGGTTTTTCCGGAACAGGGTAGTTCGTGGTACTCGGGGATGATTGAGGGACGCACAGCAGGTCAAAGCGACGTAGTAGACGAAAAGACGCGGCTTGGCTGTAAAATTTAGAAGACGAATACGAGTTATAGATAAAGCTGTTACATAGTCTATATTTAGTGTTGTGGTGATAAACCGAAATCCTAAGAGTAAATGTAACCAGTAAGTTAACAGTGTGTTAGTTCGTTCAATCTCATCTATTAAACTTTTATCATTTAATACAATTTTGTGTTTCAATACCACGTATCCACTATTTTGGAGTAAAATCCTACAATAAGCCTAGGCTCTCAATAACGTGTAAGCTGAAATCAGAAACAACCAATGAGTGGGTAATAGAGAACCGAGAACCCAAGAGGAAAAAATGAAAGACAACAGCAGGGAAAAGTAGAAGAGTGAAGGCACAAAAATCCCAGGTAAAAAAACTTTCCTAACTCTAGAGTTGAACTGAAAAACTAAGAAGTTTTCCACATCAGGAATGAAAATCAAAGTAGATTACGAGAGACAAAGCTAGAAATCAGGCGATTAGTGTTCAGTACTAAAGTCCAAATGGTATCTAGGATTTAAAGGTAAACCTTGGGTTTCCATTCAACGGAATAATTTGGAGACTCGATAAAATTGAGATTCGACAACGGAGATAATCAGCACCGGAGTTTATTTAGTGACTAAATTTACACTTCTGATAACAGACATTTAGTAATATTTATCAGTTAGTTGCCACCTGTGAACCTGCCACCATCAGAGCCCAAATAATCAGCAACATGTCTGTGAGCGGTAAATTCGTATTAGAAAAAAACGAAAATTTCTACGAGCATCTCATTGCTCTCGGTATGTATTTGTGAAACTTTCCAGCCGTCAATCATAAACTAATTGAAAAATCTTTTGTGTAGTACAGCAGGTATATTGCAGAAGCAAGTAGCTTTTGTATCGATTTCAAATTTGATGAGTTCATCACAAAATATTGGAATTTTTCTTTCTGGCATTTGTTTATGGAACACCTTGTACTTATCCTCAAAGTGATCATATAACAATAACTCGTTAACCTTTCTGCAGTTTGAAAATAGTGCATTTTTAAGCAGATCTTGGACTTTGTTAATTCTTTTTAGTGTTCAATTAAAGTGATATTTCATAGTTGGAAGTATTTGTTTGTAGTCGATTGTTTACAGCGTTTTTAAAACACCCTTAGTAAAAAGTGGTTGATGATATTTCCTTTACTAAAGCGCTTTGTTTCATACTTTTAAACATTCGTTGTTTTTCTATTATGGAACATGCACAATTATGATGCCTATAAGTATTTATTGAGTCCCAAATTTCCTACCTTTTATGACAAATCAAAATAATGAAAACTGTGAAAAGTCTACGTCCTGCTGTTTTTCTAATCCTTTATTTAACCCAGAAAAAGGTTTGACTGTTCTACCCCACTTTGACTCCCACTTTTACTGGTTGATCTTCTATATTCCTGTCAAAATTTCAGCAGATCAGTTTTAATACTTTGATTATTTTAGAAACCTTATGCACTAAAAATTCGAAAAAAATACTTTACGACACTACATAATTGCAGCAATTGCAGCATAACAAAATATGCAAAAATCAGTAAGTAAACCAGCTACAAAAGACAACATTTTAAGAGTCATTAAAAAATGTACCCAAAAACGCTTTAGAAAAATTTAGCAATTTAGCATCGCTGCATGTACATGATTGTTCACGATGAAATTTTAAATAGTTACTAGTAAGTTTCTAACAATTTCAAACAAACAGGTTGCAGTTTTCTAGATAAGAGAATTAATTAGGCAAGAAAAATTGTTTTGGTTTTCCGGGCTCAATTTGAAATTATTTTCGCTCGCACTTGTGCCATTCTCTTTTCTCTGTTCTCTCGCACTCCCACTTCTCGGCAGAAATATTTGAAAATTGTGGTCATCATTTGCCTCATAATTTATATTATAACGTATAAATTGTTGTTGTGTTTTTCCTTATTCGTATCTAATATTATCAAACTTGGAAAATAAATACCAAAAATATTTGCAGAATAAACAACTTGGTATTTCGTCGAAAATTTTAGTGCAGTCATGTTTCATTTTTTTACTTAAATGTTTTACTTTTCTCGTCCGCCATCTTCTGATGTTAATTGGATTAGTTAATACCCGTAATTTTCAAAAAATAAAATTTAAACAAACAGCAATTTATAATATATCAAGTAATTCCTATGGTTTTTGTGAGTTTTTTAAACTTGCTTCAATTTATTAATGATGAAACACGCATTGATTTCACGAATAAAAACCACATTCATATTGAATTTTGACGGGAATTTCCTTTATTAATTAACTCGTTGAAATTAGCAAAACTGCTTTTAAAAAGTCTGCACATGCAGGACTTTCAGGCATTAATTTCATACTATGTTAATTGTATTTTAGCATCATTTTTAATTCATCTTCATACTGCATCATTTATAGATTGAAAATATCTGAACTATCCATTACAGGCATCGCAGCGGAAAGAGCCAAGCAAGTAAATGGGCTAAAACCGATTTTGGAAATTGCAATTAACGGAAAGGAATTAATTTTCACCAGTCTCAGTGGCGAGTTCCAGCATAAGTCCATTCTAATTCTAGACGAAGAAGTAGACGAAACTATTGCTGTAGAGTACCATATTAAGGTGAATACCATAAAATGAAAATTAGCCAGATAGTGAAAGAACTGTAGCTACTAAATAAGAAATTGGTTATTCGATCTGGTTTCTTCACTACTTATTTGGCTAATTGCACAAAACTTTCAATTGTCACAAGAACTTAAAAGAAGAAGTTATTCTGAGGTAAAGAAACCAAGGCTAAATAAATGAAGTATTTTTCCAATACAGCTAGACATTGTACCTTAACACATGCCTTAAAGAAGTTAATCAAAAAATGTTTGCATACATTTTTGCCATAAAAAATTGTAATAGTTGGGCCCCAATGAAAAGGGGCACATTTAAATACACATTTTAATAACCACGTTTTTCATTAACGTATTATTATGTAAAATCGTAATTATTGTTATGAACAATTGCGAAAAATTGCAACCTAACTAACAGAAAAACGAACTTTTTCTCTCTATGCCAAGACGTCATGTACCTAGACGTCATCGTTTTTTTACTCATTGGAATCATGTTCGTTCGTTTCCATTGTAATAACATTTGATAATGCGAGATTTTTAACGAGAAATAAACTCTGATTCATTTTATATCATTAAAACATGGCAGTAAAATGCATGCAATTCAAGTATCTGTATTTTACTTTCATTTCTTTATTTACTGGAACCATAAACTTTCAAATGGGGCAGGTTTGAGTACGACTAAACGACTAACAATTGACTTCTAGAATCGTCTCATTTTTTGTCTGAAATATAATTTGTATACAAACTTCCGAATAGAATAATATAAATATATTCCACTAACCAAACTATAAACAATATCACGTTGTTTGCAAGCAAATTATTGAAGAATGCCATCAATTTTGGCCTCCATAAAGTGTGCGCACATTTATGGTTTCTTGCACCACACTATTTGGATTGCGATTATCAATCAGTCAATATCTAAATAAATTCGGTAGCTTCAATAAACTGATTCAGGAATTAGCTGGATTAATTCCAGATTTAGTGGAAAATGTTGTAAATTTGCTGCTTCACATTAAATAATCCGCACTTTGCTGAAACATAATTTTTTGTGGTACATTTAGAGTATTGCAAGAAAAACAGACGACCACACACTGGAAATCGAATCGACAGGAACGATAGCAGAAAGAGGAATCAGGCGTTACGAGTTTTCAGATAAAAGCCTCATTATGGTAAGCTTAATCTAATTACTATTCCCTTTTCAAACGCTTTTAGTACTCAATATAATGAAATATTTTTTTATTATGCAAGGACGAGTTTCGTCCTGTTCTGTCCCTCACGAGGACAAAAGTTCCAAATGTTTTACTTTTCTCTTAATTAATCCGAGTATAATAAAATATTAAATAGCCAATTTTGTTTTTCAGACCATCGAAAACGACAACAAAAACATTCCGATTGCAAGACGATACTATAGCCGGATTTAAACAGATAAAGAGAAACTTGTACTTAAAGTTAAGCTTATTTATTTTTTTGTTTGTGCGTGCTTTTAGTTACATTAATTACTAATTTATACGGGTACATGTAGAGTGAATGCAGCCTAATCATCAAAATTAATATGTAAATTAGCAATAATTATAGTAAATAAATACACACTAAATAAAATAAAAAATGAGGCCAATTTTGTCTTTTGCCTTTTGGTAATACCGAAAAAGGACAATAATGATTGTTTTTTTTTTGGACCCAACAGATGAAAGCTAGTGGTAGAAATTGTTTTGCCTTAAAAAGGTAGATAAAATGCTTTCGCTGCCACTGCATGAAACTGATGAGATATTCAAGTTTTTGGTAAAAAAAAGTCCCGACGTTTTGCAAGCGCGAGTGGCTTGCATCTTCAGTACAGAACTGATGATAAAGAGATTTCAGCTTGAACCCATGCAAGATGTAGCGACTTAAAACAATCAGACACTGCTAACAAAAACCATTGAAAACATAGTAAAAATCCCGAAACCACTATAAAAGAGTTGTTTTGCATTTAATCTAAAAACTGCTGTTCTTCATAAATTCATCTGATATAAATCCAAACAGCAGCTCTCAAATTATCAAGTGTTTTTATTGGATGTTTGGCCTTTGAAACGGTAAAAGGATCGCAAACATTTGTCCAAATTAAAAGTATTTCAATAACACTGAAACGTGAATGTTCACACTTGATACTACAGATTAATATACTTTAATTAACCAAATTACTACAAAATAAATTGTTGATTTATCCATATTCTCCATCCAACCCAATGGAGAATTTATCGATCCGCAACATCCATTCAGATAATTAAACATGCGGTTGCAGACAGTTGATGAATAGTGTACTGTTTGATTAAATATCTCAAATTGGAATCATTTGGTTTATAATATTTATTGTATATTTCACTGGCCAGCATGCCACTAACATCAATAATATTAATGGATAGTTACATAGAGGTCAATCTTGCACAAAACTGGCCAGTTTTTCTCATAGCATCCTCATAAAACCTTTCTATCAATTAAAAGTTTGATTAATTAAATTCATGAAACTGATTTATCCAGAATTATTTTAAAAGCATTGAATGTAGCCGATTTTTTTCTAGTGCCAGTAAAATGCATATTCTGAATAGTAATTAGAGGACATAAAAGGGTAAATGTGGAAATTCATTGGCTAAAATGTTATTCAGTTAATTTTGGCTCGACCGTCCCAACTGCCCTACTGTCACACATAAACGTACATTTTAATACTCACATTAATGTGTCCAAAAGTAAAGCTTGCTGATCATGCAGAAACTCAAGCCTATTAAAACTATTTCATTTCTGAATGCGAAATTGCCGGTCCCAAACCGGCTCAAGTACCTTTTGGTTTAATTGACAATTTTTTTCAAAACATATTGAAAATATTTGCGGAAATCTACTAAAACGTTTGGCAAACATTGTGACATCAATTGCAATAAATGTTGATGTTTGATAACTATTTAGAGTGGCTCTGGTTTAAAAAAAAATGTTACTATCTGTTTCCGCCTTTTTTTTGCAATTTTTACCTCTTATTTAAAAGCCCGCAACCATTTTTTCCTATTTTTTGCTCCTTCGAGTTTCATCAATATAATCCCATATCCAGCAATTTAATCTGCTCTGCTCTTTATACCTTAAATTTCAACTGTAAAAGATTAATTTTACAATTCTTGTGGGCTCTTAGCTTGATAACATATTTTCAAGCTGAACTAAAGAGATCAACATGAACAGTTTATTTTTCCTAGGATTTTCCAGTAAAATTAATGAGAAATTCTGAAGATAATTTACTTGATGCGGTAATATTAAAAAGGGAAAAACATGGTAAATGTCTACAAAAATATATTAAAATACAGTAATATAAATTAGTAAAAAACTAAGCAAAATCTGGCAGAAAATTGTAGATAGAAAATAAAATATTGAATGAAATCAATGAAATGGAGAGGTTTGCCTCAAGAAATATCTGAAATTTTATTTAGAAATAAAGAAGCAAAAATACTTGGAATGTCAGTTTTCTGAACAAAGTTTTTAAATATTACTCCTAAAAATGTTTAACTTTGTAAGCAACTTTAATTATTAAGTGATTTATTATTAAAAATAGTTGCATTTATAAAACCGCATTGTTTAAAAAGTTGTCTAAAAGCTTCAAGATAACTATTGGAAAGTAATGTTAATTTTGTAATCTTCTAATCATTTTTATTTGTTTCCATCATTGTTCGTTGTCCTCAAATACAATAAATAATCTCTTTCTTAATTCAAAAATGCAATAGGTTTTAGGTCATTTCTCTTCATATGTTTATAATCTTTGTTTTAAAAGTTGTTTTAAAATAATATAATTTTAAATGAACAGCTGTAAGTAAGTAAAGTGAAATAACAGTAAATTATTGGTTTCTTTTATACGTTTTTTATGATAAATTATTTAAAAAAGAATACAGTTTATAAAGACATCCTAAATCTATTTGGTTTATAATGCTCTATAATTAGGTAAAGTAAGTAACTTTTTGTGCTTAATCTTAAAATTTGGTATTGATACAATCGGGGAACCGTAAAATTCACCTAACGATTTGAACAATTACTTAAATAACATAATAATCGTGATTCTTTCGGACATTCAATAACAAAATATCACAATAAAAACTTCCCATTAATGCGTAAACGGTGTAATACGCGTAAATAATGAAATATTTTTTTGTAAGACTGATCATAGAACAAATCATAAAGGAAAATAACAAAATTTTAAAAAATTTCATTTGGAATAAAACAGCAATCCACACATCGAACAGTATAAAAATTAATGATGTTAAAGTTATTATTTCCACTAAAAAATATTGGGTTTTTGTTTGCTATTCATTAACTATATTTTATGTGAACAAATAAAATAAAATGCAGTCAAACCACAACAATGCAGAGAAAACTCATTTTTCCACAATGTTTGCTATGCTCTAAATGTCTAATGCTTTGATTCTATAGTTCTGAATTATTCTGTATTAGAAATTATCTATATTAGATGAAAAGACGAACTTCGTATTTAGGGTGCCTCCAAATAAGTGTAGCGATGGAAAACTTTAGCAACATGTTTGTTTTCGTTCATAAAAAGTCATTTTTTCTCGAAAACGGTTAACTTTGAAGCAATAAACCAAAACGCTATTTGTTTGGCGCAGTGGCGTGAAAGGTAAGGAAAAACATATACTAAATAATATATAATAATATAAAAGCTCAATCGTGTAAATTAAATGTACAAGACAGCCAAAAATCTAAAAAAACTAAATTTTTCGCACTCTATTTCGAAATCGAAAGCACGACAAACACTGTTTCCGTTTGTAATTTTCCAAACGCTCAATTTTCAATAGACCAAACATTAATATTTTTAATTTTTCTGCGTTTTAAGGAACATTTTGAAAATGCTTAAACCAAATTCAAATTTTTTCTTCGATTCTATTGACAATTTAATATAATACTTTTCTGGAAGATGGAAAAACTGAATATACTGCACTGCTTGTAAGGCCTAACATTTGAAAGTCATTAATTATTTGAATTTATTAAAATAGTTTAAAACCTACCATTTTCGGGCCGTGAACGAACACGGATTTAAAGATATTAGCTATTAAATGAGTATTTGCAAGCTTTTGCATATATGAAAAAAGAACAATTTTAGGTTGTAAAATATGCACTGAATATATTGTCCTTTAATTTGCAGAATCTGTGTTTTTACTGGCGGTATCTGTATATAAAATTATGTAAATTTCAATCTAGTTAAAAGTTGAAAGATTGGTTTCCTCTTTAAGTGAAACAGGCAGCAATAAACCAAGCAGCAATAGTCAAAGATTCGAAATTTTTTTACAACGATTCAAATTGAATGGAATCGCGATTATATTTAATTACAATGCGGTTCCAGCTTAAACATGGAACAATATACTTGTTGAAAGGTATTAGATTCCTTATATTTTCGCATATTCTACACTCGACTTCAGCAACTATGCACAGTAATTACATTTTCGTTCAAACGGGATTTACTAAAATACCATTGGAAACTGCCAATAAATAAAGTAGAATTTCCATCCATATTATGATTGCTGTGGAAACCTTTGAAGCATATGGTTTCATTTGCGAGAAATATTGTAACAGGCCAAGCCAAACTTTGAGGTAACTGAGCCCGGGTAAGTAATTGTAAACCCAGGTAAGTATAGTTAGTTAAAAGATATTGCACAGCATATTTGTGCGGTGTTTTGCTGACCGGTATCGTAATTTCCCGCCCTCATAACTTCAGTGGAAATTAATTAGATTTTTCTTTGGTGTAATAATAATTACTGCAACCGGTCAGAATATGAAAGCCGAAAACTGAAAAAGGGCTAATCTGGACCTTTATTCTTGAGCCATTATTTTTTTTTATGTTCTTATATGTTTACTATTAAATAACCTGGATTTCCACATCATTAACTGACATCAACAATAAGGATGAAAGAAAAGATTTCTTTATGTTCTGTTGTATACAAGTAGACAAAGATTAACGTTTAAAGACCCTGGTATGAAAAAACTGGAATGCAGGGTGAATCAAGAAGAAATGAAAATATTGTAAGGCATTCAAAAAAATATATTTTGCTTTGAGTGGCGGCAAATACAAAGGCGATATTTCTTATGATTACTTTTTTGTCAATGGATTTGTGAAAACAAAAGACGGTTTAATGAATTTTATTTACCAAAAACGAAGTTCAGTTTGCTCGAGATTTAATTCTAGAGGCTTGGTCGATAGCTTTTTCACCGAATAAAGATGTTGTTGTTGTTGTCATTTCTTTGTCATTCTTGCAATGCTTTGAATTGTTTTAATTTATTTATCTGAACCTCTATGGCATATATTGATTTATTCTAATTTATTTCTAACAATTTCAATTTTTGTACAAAGCGGGTTTACAATTTTTCGGTTTTATTTAACCTTAAAACAAAAAATATTGTTTGCGATTCATCTGATTTAATTTTTTATTTATACATTTTTTTGACGTTGAATTTTAGAATAGGCCGCAAAAACGTATCCATCTAATAACATATAATTTTCTATAGTTCGATTAATTGTAATATAAGGAGCTAAATATACACATATAAAGGCACCAACGGTCAGTCATATTTTAAACACATTCAAAAAAAGTTCAATAAAGGCATTTTACAAACCAGATAAAAAATGTGATGTGTGAT